AATTACAATTTACAAGAAAAAAGGGGAAACATTGGATTTACAAATAGAATTGGGTCATGACTTAAACATTTAAAAAGCTGTAGAATAAACCAAAATAGTGATGTAGATTATTCTTTTTATTTTGAATTATAAGGAATTTAATGGAGCTGCTTCACTACTAAGGGATTTTGATGTGACAAGAATTTTGAGAGAAGAGACAAAAAGATATGGAAATTTATTTGTGGGTTTCAAAGATAGTTGGCAGGAAAAAAAATACGGAAATGGTTTATTTGATTAGTTTTAAGAAAACAGTTCTTTTGGACAAAAAGAAGCCAGTTATAGTTCCATTTATGTATGCCTTCTCATCTCCCTTACATTTAAAGGTCTTTTAAAAGTAAATTTTGAACCAAAAATGTAATCCCAAATTTAATTGTTTCATGTACTCCACGTCATAACAACTCTTAGCACAAATCTAGTCAGAAATTTAACAGACATTTCTAAATATTGAAGGGCTGGCTACAGGTGAGTGGATTTCCCACTCAAAGAGATACCATTGTTTAATAATACTTGCACTTTTTTGGGGGTGGGGGGTTGTGCAAGATCACACTTTCCTTTAGAGTAGCACAGATGAGTTTGGTTAATATCTGCGCTCGAGCCCTGTTCACTGTCAGTTTTCTGAATTTTAGAAATCATATTACCTTTTATTTATCTTGTGTGCTTTAGTGAACCAGTTTCCAGTCACTGATCTATTATTATGAGTTACATTACTGTCAGGACATATACAGGGTGGAGGAGACTGAGGTAGTGAATGGTTTCTCGCCCTTGAATCTTGGGTGGCTGAATGGATTACCTGCTGGATCCCAGTGTTCTATACCTAAGAGAATTATTGGCCCAGACCACTAGTAGAAAAGTCTTGCTTCTCAGCAGCTTTGCTAATGAGGCACATACCTTTTATCCCAGTGATGGCAGCAGGTGTTGAAATGCTCACTGCCATTTACTGTAATAAAGCACGGAGAATCCCAAAGATCAACATTGCACTCATGTATGATAAATGCAAACTTTGTCTTTTCTCAAAGGGAGCAAATCTAAATTCTAACCTCCATTAGAAAAACATGTAGCTTTTTTGTTTTTTTGCATTTATCATTTGAAGTGAATAATTTTTAAATAAATCTAGCTCTGGTCCTTAGCAAACCTACAAATAGAATGCAAACTAGTGCCCTTTGACTAACTGCTGACTACCTGTGTTATTCAAAACTTTTTTTCTATAGGCCAGTGATGGCGAACCTTTTAGAGACCGAGTGCCCAAACTGCAACCCCAAACCCACTTATTTATTGCAAAGTGCCAGGGCCGCATCAGCACTGTGGCTCCCTCAGGGAGGGCGGGGGATGTGACCCACTGGGTAGGCGTGGCCAGGATGGTCACAGCAGACTGGATGGGTGTGGCCAGGTAGGTGTGGCCACCTCGATGCTCTAACACCTCTACTTGAGCTTGCTAGCCGGCTGTTTTGCCTGCTTTGTGCTGGGCGGGGCTGCTGCTCCGGGCAGCGGCCCAATGGACCTGTGCAAGCTGCTAGTGGCGGTGCACGTGCCCACAGAGAGGGCTCTGAGTGCTGCCTCTGGCACGCGTGCCATAGGTTCGCCACCACTGCTATAGGCTGTACATGCTCCCCAGCAACATTTTTTTTCTTCATTATGTCTCTGTGATATTGTCTTCAACCCATTTCCAGCTATGAGGTAGAATTAAGCCAACCTTAGCTGAATTGTTATTAAAGTGTTACTTATCCCTTATTCCCAATACTGTCCAAAGTCAACTTCAAGATGGAAACAATGTGTTAGTCTACAATGCTCATTAATCTGCAGGGAAGTCAGGCGAGGGCAGTGATGTGCAAGAGGCAGGTCAAGGATCAGCAATGGGAATGGCAATTTCCATACCAACATTTTTCTGCCAAAGGTGGAAAACCTCAGCCAAGCATTGGAAAAGGGGCTCAAGAGCTTAATAGATTCACAGTTTGAACAAAAGCCCTGCTCAGGCAGGAACCAAATGCATGTAGGGCATATGAAAAATAGGGCTGCTGTTAATGTTAAGACACACACACACACACACCCCGAACCTCCACACGAGGTAGAAATTTGAAGGAAAGCTGTACTGTATTTCTATTTGCATGAATGTGGTTACAGTTCTTTTGTGTAACTTGAGGTTTTGCTTTACTAAAATCCTCAATAAAGCTGTAGCAAAACTCCAATTCACCTCTTCATATTGTTCTCTAAATGAGGTGACAATAGTTCACAGACAATGGGGGCTTAAGATATGTACAATGTGCCTAACCCCATTCTCTGTCACTGCCTCCAAGTCAGCAGTGGTAAACCACTTCCTTATTATTGTTAAGAAAGCTACTGGATGTGTTTGGTTCTTAAAAATGGACAGACTTCACTTCAGACTGTCTGGGTTCATGCAGCAGCTAAGTTAACATGTGGTCATCTATGGCTTCAGGCATGGTATGAGTCCTTCCATAATACTGATTTATACCCCAGTGAGAAGCAATCTCAAGCAAATTGGTTAATGTGGTAAACTAGAATTCCATATACTGTTCATAGCAAGCTTTGAAAAACATGAAATGATTATTTGTAACAGAAGTATCCCCAAATGTATCTTATTTATTATTTATTCAATTTCTATGCTGCCCATCTCACCAATACAATGACTCTGAGCAGCTTACAATATAATAGAAGTTAAAAAGTGCAAAAAACCCCAATTAAAATAGAATAAAAAGTTTAAAAAAATATTAGAAATCAAGATGATGGGCAGTCTGGGGGAAGAAAATCTTCTCTATCCCATCAGCCACCACCAATGTAGCAGCAGCAGAGCCAAATTTTTAGGCTCTTCCAGAAGGTCAGGAGTATGGGGGCCGATCTCATCTCTGACAGGAGAATATTCCAGAGGGTGGGGGCCACAGCAGAAAAAAAATCTTCTCCTGGATCCTTGCCAGCCGAAATTGACAAAATCACAAGTAGCTCTTTTTGCTGGAGCAAATGGGGCAGGGTAAGGCAGTTCCTCAGATACCCTGGGACCTTGCCATAAAGGGCTTTACAGGTAATGACCAATATCTTGTGAATTGGATCCGGAGCAAACTGGCAACCAGTGCAGCTCATGTAACAGCAGTGTCCTTTGTGCCACCCAAGGAGCCTCCAGAAATGTCCGCACCATATTTTTACATATTTATCAGTAGTCAGAACCAGTACTGCACTCTGGAGACCGATGGTCCCCATGTACAGAGAAACAGAAATAAATCTAGCATGTGAAATCCTGCTACATCTTAAGATACTCTTCTTGAAAAGATATACAGGTGCTTCTTGTACTAGCTGAATAAAAAAGTATGCTTGCATCTTCATTGCTATGCTTTATAAGCGTACCATTTATATCAATGGGAACGTGTAGGATTTGGAAAAAAGAGCACGGCTCCCGCCTCAGAAAAAATTGAGCATGTGAGAACCGAACCTTATTTTTTAAGGCTTATGTGGATAATTATAAGATTTTAAGAAGTAAAATACTAGGTTAAATACCATACACACCTGTTCCAGAAACAAGCCACAAAAGGAAAGCTAGAAAAGGTTGTATTGAGATGAATATTTATGTAAAATAGGAATGCCTCAAGTATTTTAAAATAAAAGAAGAAAATCAACATGTCAGGGGACAGACTAAAATTCCTGTTTTAATATATTCTTTGCATGCCTAAGGAGCATGAAGTTATTATATAAGCTCAAACTGCACATCTGATTTTAATGGCAACTGTATCATAAAATAGCTACCTTGACTCTGAATGTATGACTATTAATACTGCTATTAACGCTAAGGCAAGACAAGTGTTTCCTATCAAAAACCTGGGGTAATGATGTGGTTGCATCTCTGTGCTTTAGCAGCCAGAAGACAAGGGTGAATATAAAGAGAAGCTAACAGGCAGGAGAACATTCTTCTTCTTCCCCTGACTTTATGATGGGAGGCGAGGAATATAAAGCTATTGGTAAGGCTAGACAGGGACATTACAGAGCCCCAGGAGTCTCATGCAAACATGAGCATGTTCTCTGCCTCCTGGAGAGAAAGCAGGCATAAAGACATTCATTCAGTTCAACCCTGGGGAGCAGATGGGCACATTGTGGCAATAGCAAAGAAGCATTCTGTCATGGCTTTCTTCCAAATTGACCTTTCAGCTTCCTAATCTAGTTTACAATCCAAATTATCTCCCAGTGATCAGATGTCCCAAATACTAACCACATCTTATCTATAGCTTCTTCAAGAGTATTCACCTGTGCTGCCACCTGCTGGGGCCAAAACAGGTATCTTCCATTTAAGTTCATGCTACTTCTTTACTATTGGAACTATCAAAGAGAAAAAGCTGTTTTGTGGTGCAGAGGTCCCCAACCCCTGGTCCGTGGACCAGTACCAAGCCGCGGCATGCCAGCAATGGGTCCGCACAAACAAGCAAAGCCCCACCCGGGAGATGCAAGCAGCACACAAAACCATGCACTCTCCCATCCACGGAAAAACCTTTCTCCATGGAACTGGTCCCTGGTGCCCCAAAAATTGGGAACCTCTGCTATAATGCATTCAAGATGCTCACATAGTACCTGTCAGGAACTCCTTAACACAGCTGTATCTTTTCCAAAAATCTTTTAGCTACCCTCTGCAGCAACATGAAAACCATCTGGTTTAATTACTGTCATCAGAAATGTTTGCTCTGTATTTTTTTTTTTTTAAAACTGGTTTTAAGGACACAGGTGTCTGGGCTTGTAATGCGAAGGTTCAGAACACATGTTATCCGCATTTTGGTACTGGTATAAGGAAGCAATAATTAAAATTTTAGTTAACAATAAACCTAAGAAACCATTTACTTCTCTGCCAAGGAACCACTCAGAATTTTTCAGCTATGCTTTCCTATGATAAATTTTACAATTCAAGAAAAAAGCCAGTAAGCAATTCTAAGGAAATAGTTAATATCTGGAAAATGATTAAAACATAATAATTATTTTTAATAAACAATCAAAAGAACTTTATTTACATAAATTAAAAACAATTGGCTACAAATACAAATTATGTGTGTGTGTATTATAAAACGTAAATATCTGAAGGTTTAAAGCTTTATTAAGCCAACATTTGTTCTGAAAATAAAGTATCAAAAGTGCACCTTCCTCTCTTAAACACATGTAACATTTATTGTTCAGCTGTATAATTTCAAGCAAGAGAATTCATGAAAAAACAGAGAACTGCAATCATAACTCCATGCTTATATAAAGCTTGTTTAATCTCATTAATTGATTTTACAAAGGTTCTATAATAAGCATGGGTATGGCTTTTCAACTCCAATGTTGATCTTTATTACATATTTTACATGACAGAACATGAAGAAGTTCAGTTAAGTAGTACTTAGCTTACATAGCCAGCAACGAAACAACTGTGGAAAGATCATTAACCAAAAAAAATTACACCTTTTTCATTGAACTTGAAACTCAGACTATGGTTCATGCTGTACTTTGTAAACATGCTACTCCATTTTTACTGATGATTGCATAGGTACCTCATGTTAACAAATAACTGAAGGTTACATATATTTAATAAATCCAATTAGTTCAGAATTACTAAAATTGTTAAATAAATCAGATTACTACAAGCCATCCACCACTTCATTACAAATATTTAACTGATCGCTTTTATGTTCAAAATCTGTTTCTTATATATTCTTATTTCTTACAGACTTGAAATGGTTATTGGCTACTATTTATGGGAAAGAGCAGCTCTTTAGGCAATTTAGTTTGTATAACTGTCCACATTAAGAATATTGCTAATCACAAAATGTTCATATGAGTTCAAATAGAGGATGTACATTCACAGTTCTTATTACCATTAAGATTCTTATGAATTCAATTAAAATGAAAATTTAGGCTACCAAAGAAAATTCATGTATACATAATATTCATGTACATAGTCTGAGATTTGAGTTGTAGATTTTATAAATCCTGCCCATTTGGGAGTTCAGCATTTTTACTTGGGCTCTATTAACACAAAAGAATTTTTCTCACTAAATAACAAGGTTTTTCCATCAAGTGAATGAGTTTTATTACTTTAATTCTAATAAGATGACCCTTGTAACAGTGCCTTACATTCTTTATCAGTTTCTACCCAATTGCATCAATATTTTTATAACTGGCCTACAATTAAGCAAAAAATAAGTTCTCTTTTACTACTATACAGGGGTTTTTTTACATAGTTTTCAGTAGGTGGGAATCTGTGATTCCCAAATAAACTGAGCTATTAATACTCCTTAAAGCAAAATTAAATTTATGTAATATAAACAAAACACAAAGCAGCCAAGTGAGAAAAATCCCTATGAATGATCACATTTAAATAATATATATATTTAACCTACATCTAGTTTAACCCAAGTTTATATGCAAAAGCTCAGGTTAGATTACCAAATGCATCCATATATTCATATATATATAGGATGATATTGTTTGTGATTGAGTTTTTTCCTACAAGCAGGACAAGAGTTAGCCCTTTTAAGAGAATTTTGGAGGCACTGACTACAAAAGATATGGCCACATTTTGTTGACATAATAAGTCGTCCACTGTGGATAATTTCTGCATAGCCATCCAGGCAAATTGGACAACTAACAGTGCCTGAAGATTTTGGACGTCCAAATCTTTCCTTTTCAAATTCTATAGGTAATTTACAGGCAGCCAATTCATCACTTTCACTACATTCATTATCATTACATACTATACAGCTGTTAAACAGCGATCGGCTTAATTCTTGGTTTTGCTGTTCTCTAGTCTCTTCTGCAAGTACAATGGAATCATTATGTGTAAGATCAACCACTGAAGAGTCACCAGTGAGATCTATTACTTCTACACCTTCATCGAGTTTGATTGGCTCTATTTTTGATACTGCTTCTGCAGCTGAAGCTGTCATTCTACTTTGGTTAGGAATTTGCAGGGGAGTCCTCTCTCCATAGTGTTCCTTCTGAACCTCTTTCTGATCCATGTCTCTGCTAACACTCAAGGGGACAACTGCATCCAGAAAACTGGGCCCAGCTTTAGGAGAAGAGCCAATAGCAGCAACTTCTACAGTGGCTATGGGAGAAAAGGATGGCAAGGAGAAGCTCTTGGTTTTAGAAGCAGCTCCTGTAACCACTTTGCCAGGGTCATTAGAAGGTGTTGCTGGGTGGAGGGGACTCTGTTTTTTGCTTTTTCTGCTCTTGGTTCCGTCAAGCTTCACACTGGCTGACTTCATGGTATGCAGCAAGAGGACCGACACAAGTTGCACAGAATATGTTTTCTCCCTTATCTCCAAATGCAGGTTAATGCTTAGCTGCCACTCAGTTCTGCAATGCCGATTATGAATATTCTGGGCTACCTTTGTACAATGGGAGAATTTTTAAGAGTACTACAACCATTAAAGTGATATCGTTAATGCCATGTATTGCAAAGCTGGGAGCAAGTTCAAACTCCTGTGTTGAAATGTTACTCTTTAGAACTGCATCAAAGTAGGGAAAAAAAAAACATGATTAGGCTCAGAAGCCAGCACGTACAATTCATTTTCTATTTTTTTCAGGCAATAATCAGCTAAAACTATTATGAGGTAATGAAGAAATTCAGACAATTTACTACAGTATACTAAGCCAAAGAAAGGCTTCTGGTTGCAGATGTTTTTTATATTTCCCTCTGCTCAAACAACTGAGCAAACCAGTTGTTCAATAATCTGTAGGTATCTATTCTATTTGAATTGAAAAACTAGTTACCAATTTTGAGTGCAATCTAGGAATATTAAACCATTAATTTAAAGTGTTGTAATTTTCTGGCTTATTCCAAAGTTGGCAGTCATATCTTAAGGTTGGACCATCTAAAACTAAGCATTTTGCAGCAAAATGATCATTTTGCTGAGATGATGATCTCAATGACTTCCTTGACTGCTACCCTTATAAAAGAAGTCAGGAAAGAGAAAACCAAAAAATGAATGCAAGAAGTGAATGCTTCTTAGGAATAAGTGGGACATAAGAATTTTGTATAGATGTTTGGAGACATTTAAAATACTACCTGTTGACTTGATTCAAGCATCAGTATGTAAATTCAGTTCTTACAGAACTACCCAGCATTGGGGTTTGTCTTACAATACTGCAAGAAAGGCAACATGGCCTGCATTAGGTAAAAAGGGATATCATTATGGGCTTTCCCACATGCTAGAATTCCTCTTTTCTTCTGTTACAAAAGCTTGTTTTGCCTAGTTGTAGGCTGTTTTGTATAAAGAGACTCTAAAGTGACTAACAATCATAAGTAAATAACTATACCAAGGGTGTCAAACTGCCAGCCTGGATGCGTCACATGGAAGCTGTGCCCACCCCAGCTCCGGCAAGGGGAAAAAAGTTGTGATACATTGCGACACGTCACATGATGTAGCGAGTTTGACACCCCTGAACTATACCATTATTTGCAATAGAGAAACAGCTACTTTTCCAAAGCCCCGACAGCATAAAAGGTGTAAAAAGCTTCCCAAAATCATGAGGAAGAAAAAAAAGAACTAGGCACCCACACAGTGCTCCAAGAGCCTCTGAAGTCCCAATAATGGAGGAAAAAGAGCCTAAAGGAAGGATTCAAGAAACTTATTCATATAATTTCTATTTAGAATAACACAATTTCAAATGAATATGATTTGAATAAATTTAACATTTTTTTCTGCCTGGGTAAAACGTTAATTAACGGTATACTGTCTTTCACACAACACTGAGGCTAAAAGATTAAATCTGTTATTTAAATCTAACCAAAACTAAATCAGAATCCCAAAGCAGAAAAGAAAACATTCTGCAATGTCCTGATCTTACCCTTGAACTTCTGAAGGGTTTTGTGCACTCAGACTTCGAACTGTAGACCTCAACAGAAATGCTGAAAGAGAACCAGGGACAAAAAGTCACTCAAATAGGATTAAGATGTTCCAATTCTAGAATGAGTAAGAATAGCTTTACAATTTTTAAGGAAGAGTAAAAATTCTACTGGAATCATTCTACTCCTCAGACACTTTACAATTCATACAAAAAGATCTTTGCAACCTTTTTAGGGTCAGAGAGGCAAGAGTTTAGCTAAAAGTAAAGAATTTCTCACTTAATTAGGCAGACTTAATCAGTTAAACCTCTGGCTTATGAGAATTATAGAGCTTCAGTTATAAAGGCAGGCCTAATGAGGTACTAGGTAGACAACCAGCATTGTTGTCAATAAGGTGGCATAGTGGAGCATAGCCAAATATTATGAAAATATGCTGCATCAGATCTTAAATCCTAAAATATGTACTCATTCTTCAGTATGAATTAGATTTCTACAAACTTATTGGATAGATTGAGTAGCAATATTCCATATGGTCAAGATTAAGTTTATGCCTTTTTAAATGCAATTTCCCTTTTCTTTCAAAATTGCTTTTATGTACAAAATAAAAAAGAACCAAAGTAAAAAAAAAATGGGAAGGATACTATAAGATGCTATAAACAGGAAACAGAGAATTAAGTGGGTAACCTCCAACATAAACAGGAAGAAGTGGTAATACAGTGAAAGAGAACTTAAAGGTCTCTGACTTTTCAGGTATAGCATACAGTCATTGTGTAAATTTGTGTAACATTAAAGGACAAAACAAACCAAATCCACAAATGTCAGCATGTGGTGTGCACCCAGCTAGTAGGCCTTTAACTGCTTTAGCTGGGAATGCTATTTGAAGCCAGGTAAAAAGACTGTAACAAGACTTTCCTCCTTCTGGCAAAGATCTTTTAAAACTATTTTTGGCTCTTTTAGAAATAATTACATAACACACATAATAGAATCTTGCAATAAAAATTACCTATTTATAAATAAATGAACAATAGCAGTTATCTGCTGGAAAATGTCAACAAAAATTGCTGACTAAAGTCCCCAGGCTTAAGTTTGCTCCAACTGATCCAATACTTTTCTGATAGACAAAACCTACACATATACTAATTGAAACAGCTCTTTCAAAGCATGTAATGACAAATATTTTACTTTCTTGGAATGCTTATTGTATGTATGTGTGTACTGTTCCAATATTAGGGTTTGAAAGAGTAAGAAGGGAATAGTAGGATCTCAATTTTGACTGCCATTGTGGGGTGCTGCTTAATACTATTCACACCTAAGTAAATATAGCCTTGAGTGAATTTATATTAAAGAGTAAAATAAAGTGACAAGTTTGGTAAATTAGTTAACTACCAGATTTTTTTAAAAAGCATGTAACTAGAATCTAGCAGAATATTCAGTTGGAATAGAGATTAAAATTAATTTTATCACACACATCTAAAAAATAAAACAATTTGGCAATGCTAAAAACATCAGTTACTAGTAGTTTAGTTATAAATTACCAAAACACCCAATACAAATGAAAAAAAGTTGAATATTTCAAGTATTTTACACTACCTATTAAATTAATAAAATTAAAACTGAAAACAGTAAAAGACACTATTAGCAATATCAGTCTTATTATTATGTTAGTTTGGTTTGAGTCAGACTTTAATTTTCAAACAATGGATAGCTTCAAAATTTCTGGACTTTTTTGTAATCATAATATGAATAAATGAAACATGGAAACATAATACAGAGGATACTGTACTGAGGATACTCAGGCCACACTGAAATTTAGGGGAAAAAATGCAAGAAACATTTGAACTTTGGTGGTTCAAAACCTGACTAAACATGCTCTGCTTCTTAAAGGCCGAGTTCCCCATAATACAGGGATTACCTGTATTATGAGGAACTCATACATACAACTTCCTAGCAGTGAAGACACAATAAGGCAAAACAAGATAGTCCTCGATGGAGCCCAAAATTTGTTGTTAAACAAGACATTTGTTAAATGAGTTTTGCTTCATTTTACAACCTTGTCACAGTTAAGTGAATCACTGCAGCTCATAAGTTGGTAACCCGGTTGTTAAGTGAATCTGGTATCTCCATTGACTCTGCTTGTCAGGAGATCACAAAATATGATCACAAGACTTTGGGACACAGCAACGGTCATAAACCAGTTGCCAAACATCTTAATTTGGACCACATGATTATGCAAAGTTCATAACTGTGAAAGACTGCCACAAGTCACTTTTTTCAGCGCCATTGTAACTTTGAACGGTCATTAAATAAACGTTTGTAAGTCGAGGTCTACCTGTATATTATCCATGACTTGAAGCACCCTTCCTCACCTAGTACTCACCACATGCTCCGGGTTACAAATCGGAGCATTCTCAATGATTCGACCAGGGGTGAAGTGCAACGTAATTGGGGAAAGTATGGGGTCGGGGGAAAGGGAACGATGTCTGACGAAAAACGCCAGAATAAACAAGGGCTCAATGCAGGAGAAGGGAAGGATTTTCATTTAAAACCAGCAGAGAACACTGACGATAATTATGATGCAGGTAGAAAGTACAGAATAAAACAGCCGAGCCACCTTAACAGAAAAATACCAGAAGGTAACCAACCTGAATGAGAGCTTAACTGAGGAAAATCACCCCCTCACCTGTTCGAGAAAGAAGCCGCCCGTAACCAAAGGCAGACGCCACTATAGCCATTACAAGCCGGCCAGGTTTTCTCCCGCTTGCGCGCCCAACGGAACCGGAAGTTCAGCCCTGGAACAGCTGGCTCGCCGTTTATAGGGGCCGTCGGACAATGAGAGCCAGGTTTTAAAGGGCCGTGGTCGGCACATCGTTGCCTGCTTCTCGAGGCGTCCGCTCAAGCCGGCAGCAATGGCGACGTTGGTGGAAGAGTTTGTGTCCCGGCAAATGGAGTTGCTAAAGGAGGAAAGAGAGGCCGAAATTTCGGAAGCAAGGTATCCTTCGGCTAGGGGCAGCTGGTTTCTCAGCATTCCCCATGGCAAAAATATGAATGTATTAATTTAAACAATGGCTTAAATTATATATTTTGACCTTTGTAAACAAGCTCATTCAAATATCTGCTTCCTAAGTCTAAATTGCTGCTAGCCAGTACTGGTTAACAACCTGGCTTAAAGACATTTATTAGGGCAAGAATAGGTAAGGACAGCAGGTTGACCTAGCTTTGCTAGAGTATCTGCATCACCTGCCTTATAATTGGAGACTTGAAACCGTTAAGCAAATCTGCCATTGGAGAATTGAGTCTATTAGAAATATTTGTGTAAATACACAGTGTTCGTATATTTAATAGTAGTTAACACCATAGTAAATGTAGCTACTTATATGAGGGCTAACTTCTTTAAATCTGTGTGATATTTACTTCACAATAACTATAGGGTATTGCTGATCAGTTGACCAGAATAACAGAGCAGAAATAGTGATAAACTATAAAAAAAATTAGCCATAATGACTGATTTACAAAGTATGGTAATCCAGACAATTGTATGGATTTTTGTGATGTGTGAACCCAGTATCTTTATAGCTCAATAGATAGCAGAGTTGAAAGCACTTATGAATAAACTAATAATTTAAAAGTACTCATTAAGACATAAAATCCAGATACTTGAAGAACTTAAATATAATTTTGGTGTCACATATGGGCTGCTTGGAAGTTGCTGATTAATGTGTTCTCTAAATCATAACAGCTGCAGGTAATTAGAATAACATTAGCTAAGAGGTAAGAGGAAAAGTCCTGTACCTATATTAATGCACTGAAAACAGTGTCACTTTCTTTTGATTGAATGTTTTTTTTTCTAAGAGCCCAAAGAATAAATAAAACAGGCTTCACCTCACTTTTTGATTTCAACTTTTTCTGTTCTTCATCCATCACATTACTGAAATCAGGCAATGTTCAAGGTCACTGATTTCTGTCTTGCAGCAACATTGCTAGGGAGCAATAAAGCAGGTGTTATCAGCATACTAATGAATTCTACTCTGAAGTTCTGAAGGACTTCCAGCATTTTCATGTATGTGTTTAACAGCAGAGGAAAGGTAGAATGCTATGGATTTCTGTAGGTCAACAATTTATGTATCAAATAGTCTCCCAACACTACTTATCTGGAAACATCATCAGAGGAAGGGTCAGGATCACTGCAACGCCTACCCAGGTAGCCAAGAAGGTTATTACAGTCAGGGGTATTAAAAAATAGTGAGAGGTCCAGAAAAACTGGAATAATTGTACTTGCCCCCATCTACCTTCCAGCATAAATCATCCACCAAAATGATCAAAGCAATCTCAACACCTGGACAAAATCCTATTTAAATTGACCCAGGTAATCTTTAAGGGATTGTAATTGAGGCAATACTTAATTTGTTGCTTAGTGTAGGCCCTGAAGTGAACTTTTAGAAAGCAAATGGCTCTGAGATATGATTAAGATTTCTTCCCATCCTCAACATGATAATATCTCAATGTTTATAGCTAGTAATTGAGTATTTTTTTAGTTATACCAGTATATTTGATCCACACTTTATAAAAATCTGTAGTCTGTTTAATTATGAATAAATTACTGCTGTTTGGGTTTGCACAATATGTTAACAAGAATCAATAGATTGTGATAGAATATAACTTCAATAAATAAATGAAATGTTAAGATAACATTGAGTAGAGGGGGTGACTTTGAGCAATTGCCATTGCATTATCAGACAAGGTATAAGAATGCAAGAATATCTAGTAATTGATTTCTGGAAAAATGCAATAAGTACATGTTTTATTATATCCAAATTAAATATATACAGTACATATACATTAAAAACTGTTGAAGACTAAAAATTATCTGTTCCTTAAATTTGTGACCTTTTTTGAACTATTGTTCATTTTCTGATATTAAGAAATATGTAATTTGTTCCTAGTGTGAAATATTCAGCTGAAAAACAAAAATGGGGGAATATGTGACAAAGTGGCAACTCTTTTGACAGGCTGCTTAGATGGGCAGTGGGAATGCATAATGCCAGGTCCTTCAGCCATTCAGGGTCCACAGAAGCCTTGAGTGGAATCTCTGGAGACTTCCATGTATTACCAAATTATAGTTCATAATTTGACAGAAAGGGAAATTAAATTTATGGCTAGAGAGCAATCCTATTAGCTATGTTACTTTACATTAAGAGGAAATGAAAAAAAAAATCCTATCCACATCTATTATTTTGGGGAGGGTAGCTGCAAGCATACCATTCAAAACATATATATGGTTTTCCCCAGTGCTTTTTTTGTAAAAAAAAAAAAAAAAAAAAAAGGTGCCGGAACTCATACACTTCATACAACCCGCCTTTTCTACCCTACAAGGTTCCATCCAAAAAAGGTGCCGGAACTCTGTTCTGGGCGTTCTATGAGAAAAAAAACCCTGGTTTTCCCCACCCCAATTTCAAGCAGTTTTGAAATTGCCAAATGCTAAATGGGTCATCAAAAATGCACAAATATGAATATTGTGGAGATATTGCAAGGTTTTATCTAATCTGATGTCCTTCAAATGGAAATTATGTGTGTTCTAGTTCAACATATTTGGAGATTTGAGAAGGCTTGTTACAATGTTGCAAGTCACCCAGAATTGTTTAAGATGAGTACCTATATACATCTTTAAAATAAATAACATTATTATGTATATGGAGATGTTCTTTGTTGTCCACCAACGTTCTGTCTGGATGGAGGCAAAGAGGGCAACAAATATGATTTAGCTCCTCAGGTGGCATCTAATTAACAAGGGCATGATTTTTCTCTTTGCATGATCTTTTTTCAGAGCATGGCAAGAAGGAATCTCCCTGAAAGAGCTGCAACGTAGAGGAGTTTGCTTACTGAAACTCGAACTACACTGTCAAAAAACTGGGCTATATGGCCATCTGCTTGTAACTTTACAGTCTCAAAAACATGGCTCAGACACAGAGCTACCTTCCAATAGTTTTGGGCCTGGTAAGTAAACAGTGTTAATTTTGAAAGTTTATTGTAAAATGCTTTACAGTAGCTTTAGATATTGGAAGATAGACCTTCATGATGTGATGGGTTATTTCTGAATCTGTAATGATCTCAAAGTCTTCGAATTACAGCTGTCACATCAAACAATGATAAAACCAGACTTTTTTTTATTCACACATGGAGTTATTAGCAGCATAAATTTTGAATTATTTTAAAAATATAATCACCCAAGTAAAGCGGTTTATTATCAAAAATATAATATGTATGTGGACAGAGACAAGGACTTTGAAGTATTCAAGTCAATTTTGACAATTTACAGTAGAAGAATGAGCAATAAATCTTTTTCCTGCAACATTCACATAATTAAAATTAAAATTTGAGGGAGGGAACCTTTACTGCAACTTGCCAACTTTTATCTTGATTATAATGTTTGTTTCATTGTTGTAAACCACCCAGAGCTGTTGTGGATTGAGTGGTAAAGGAGTTTAATAAATCCTTACTATTACAAAAGGTAAAGTAAATGAAAACTCAGTTCTGGGAAAAGAGAAAGCAGGAGAAAGAAATTCAAAATAACCAGGCCTTAATTCTGTATGGTAAAAAAAGAGGAAGAAAGCCACCTCTAGCTAGCTTTCAAGATTCTGCTATTTTGCTATACAACAATAGAGTCCCAATGGTCCTTGTTGTGTTTGCTTCCTGACCTGCCCTTTTCTGGAGTGCTGACAAACCTGATTGTTTCATATTGAACTTGTCAGGTTGTTGTCTTTTGTCATGATGACTTTTGTGAATACAAAGACAGAGTAAATTGGAGAGTCTCTCAAGGTTGTCAATGGCAGTAGTAAAGTTTCTGGTTTCATTTAATCTGAGATATACCGTGTTTTCCTGAAGGTAAGACCTACCCCGAAAATAAGCCCTAGCTTGATTTTTGGAGGTGGGCCTAATATCAGCCCTACCCTGAAAATAAGCCCTAGTTTTGAGGTAAGGTGCATGCCTAAAAATCAAGCTAGGGTGGGTGTAGGGGGGTGGAGCTGCCTCAGGCACCCCACAACTGCTTACCTTACCAGTAGGACCACAACAAGCAGGTGTCCTCCGCCCTGACACATGTTGCGCTGCATGGCTCGTTGTACTGTTGCCACTCCTCACTGCAGGAGGCTGCATGGTGCTTGTCACACTGTTGCCACAGAAGCGCCATGCAGCCTCCTGTAAATGGCCAAAGCACCGCACAGTGCCTTGACCCGATTGGCGGCAATGGCCCAAAGCGCCGTGTGGCATCTTGCCACGACCAGCAGCAACAGTCTGAAGCACCATGCAACCTTCTGCAAACGGCCTGAAGCACTGCGCGGCGTCCTGCCGCGACCAGTAGCACAGGTGTGAAGCACCATGCAGCGTCCTTCCGCAACCGGTGGCACTGGCACAGTGTTCCACATGGCATCTGGCTGCAAGTGCTGGCAAGTGGCCGTTGAAGAAGTCAAGCAGTGGCATGACAAATGTTGGGGCATGCGAGGCCTGGCTGCAGCGGTCCTAAGGTAAGACATCCTCCGAAAATAAGACCTAGTGCCTCTTTCTGAGGTAAGAAAAATATAAGACCTAGTGCCTCTTTCTGAGGTAAAAAAAATATAATTTTGGGGGAAACACAGTTCTCACCCTCCCATTAATGTGGTAGTATTGCCATCTCAAAAGTTAGATGCTCTTCTATGAGGCCAACTAAGATATGTGTCTCAGCCAATAGCTCATGAAAGAATACAGTGTGATTATCCCTGAACATATGTACTTCTGCTCACTCCATATTCACTTTATTTCTTAGAAGGGAATCTTGCAATGAGCAATCAGTTTAAAATCTATTTGCAAATACTACAAATGTAATCTTATAGAGGCCTGGATTTCTCAGCAGGCATTTCAAGCTCAGCTACAAAGACTTTTTAAGTTTTTTTTTATATTGCTATAACTCATAATTCCAAGTGGGAGCATTTAGACAATGTTGGCTGATTTCAGAACCCTCCTGGTTAGTATTTACATAGAAGACTAACAAAACATTCCTAGACAGAAGTACTTCTTTTCTTTAATGAATTCTTTCTATTGTTTTCCATTTTATTTGTAACATTCTGATATTTGGTTTTTTTTAAAGTAAAATCTTCCAAGGTTTTTTAAAAAATTTTTTAAAATGAAAACTATGTTGAGGAAGACCTCCAGAATGCTGGTTAATTTAGATAACTGGGTTTTTTGCTAGGAAACCAAAAAAGTATGATTGTTACAAGTAAATTACAAAAATACAGTAGCAAACAGTCTATGCTGACTATGCTGAGACTTTTTCTTTAGCTTACACTACTGTACTGAGAAAATAAATGAGCTATGGCCTTACCTTCTAATCTAGGTTTTTATTTTGTATGGGCAGCTGTTCTTGTTAGAAACTCAATATTTCATTATGAAACAATGTACAATGTTAATAGAGGCTCATTCCTGGAATCTGATTTTCACATATTTGTAAAGTAATTTTGTCATAGTTCTGCATCCACTCACTTAAGAAAAAGGCTTATAAATTCAATAAGATTAATTTCTGAGTAAATATTTGAATCATACCCTTTCTCTGACTTGTTTTTAAAAAAGAGTCTTTATCCTCCTTCTTGCTTGGCTGGTCTCACATCATCTTAAGACATGGTTTGTATTAACTGCCTAGTTCAAACATAATTTTAATAACATTTTAAGCCAGAAATCATGGTTTACCAACCACAGTGACTGGTTCAGAAGCTAAAACCCAAACATTATAAGTTTTATTGCATTTTATGAATCAAATGACTGTAGCCTAAAAAGTGCCATTCTCCAAGAGCTTTATTAAACGTTTTTTCCATTATGTAGCAGTCACTAAGAATGCTACTTAGTATGTACTCCCTTCTTCTCCCCCTTCTCCCTCTGTCTCTCTCTCACACACACATACACACACACTCCCTTGAGCAGCCTGTAAAACAATGGGTTCTAACCATATTTTTCAATTTAGGTCTGTATTGAATCTCAAGGGTATTTTGTACTTTTTGTTTAAAAAGGAGATTTAAGACCCTCCTGGCATTGTTTTCCCTTGCCACAGACAGTTGGACTATTGATTAATTCTATACTTGAATTAATGCCTCAGCATTGATACACACTGTACTGTGTTTCATAGTAGTAATCATGAGGATAATGTTTGTCTTTTTTAAAAATGCTATTTAGAATAGATATGGGCAGAATTAGACAAAGATATGCTTTGAAAAGAGCTCCAGTGACTTTGAAAACCACATCCGCTCAAGAGAGGCTGTTTCTGAGGGGCAAATTTTCTAAGATGAAAATATATGCTAAGGGCACATATTCTGTTAGATTCAGAATTGCTGGGTGTGTGTGTGTGTGTGAACCTCCAACTTTGGGTTCAATCATGCAGAATTGCATTGTTTTCTTGTCATGAATAAATCAGATACATGTGGAGGGTAATGTTGTGTGAACTTGCAATGGCATTTCTTATGGCTTAAAAGAGAATAGATTCATTGAATCATGACATCGTACTTTAAAATTGTTACGATGAAAGATGCCCCACAGCTTATAGTTAACAATGGAGCTAATCAGTTTCATTGACATTCAGTTACTTTTCAGAACAGAATGCATTCTCACTGGTGAACACAGTAGATACTGGTGGGTTGGGTTTTTTTTTTTAACCTAAATGGGAATGGCATGTAAGAATGTATATGTTTCTTACATTTCGTAGATTTACATATAAGTATAATGTCTGTATCAGTGTCTGAAAATATTTATGATATCTAGCATCATTCCAGGGCTTTCTGGAAAGCTTTCCTTTTTCTGGATGATGTTAGTCAGAGAGCCTAAAGCAGGGGTAGGCAACCTTGGCTCTTTTATGACTCGTGGACTTCAACTCCCAGAATTCCTGAGCCAGCCATGGGAATGGGAATTCTGGGAGTTGAAGTCCACGAGTCATAAAAGAGCCGAGATTGCCTACCCCTGGCCTAAAGTAATTGATTCTGAATGATCTCCTAAAGCTTTGGGTTTCAATTCTGGGGCTGGAGTTTTCCTTCTGCTTTTACTTCTTTGAATTAAAAAAAAAAAAGAGGGGGATTGGAACTTATATCAAGCTTTGTTTATCCAAAGAGTTCTATCATCTGTTCAGGTTTTGACCATAGATAAAGGGCTCCCAATGGCAAAATGTCTTCTGTGGATTTGCCATCCCACTTCTGGAGCTCTTCTGAGCTTTGGGCTGGAATATTAGCGCCCACTGGGATTTAAAACGAGAAACCTTGGAAAGAGTTAAAAGGACTATAAGGTGTCCTAGTTAATTTTAGTGGATTGTCCTGAGACGGATAGCAATATCACTTGGTGTGATTGACAGTTTTGCCTCCTTTGTGTCTTGTGGTGTTTAATAAGTTATTATTGTTTTTACATGTAGTTTATTTTCTTATGAAAGCCTGGATTCTCTTGATGCATAATTGATGAATCCATTGGACCTGACCTACTTTCAGTCTCATCAGTACAGATTGCAATCTGCATGAGGGCTTTTGAAAAATCTTATCTGGGTTTTTTGGGGGGAGTACATTAGAACATTATGAAAGATAGCAAAAGGATGGTCAGGCAAATATAGAGTATGATACTTGCCTATTTTTCTGTACAATTCAGTCATTTTGAAACCTTATCTTAATCACTATTGCATTTTGATTGGCACTGCACCAGTTTAGTATCAAAAGTTTGTAGTCTCTTTACACATTATGATAATTTCCACATGTCCTGTGTGTTGATATCCTTTATAAAACAAATACTGTACAGTCTCTCTGGATCCTGTCAAATGATGGTTCACTATGCCAGGGCTTTTCAACCAATGATACGGGTATCACCTGTGGTACATTGGCACCTGGCAGGTGGAGGATAGCAGGGGAGGGGAATGAGCTGAACCGGTGGCAGCACTGCACAAGCCTGAGTGAGAGATGGCTGGAGCTGCAGGGCTGGCAGGGCTGAGCGGAAGCGCCAGGATCAGTACCACTTTCCAGATGATTGGCGTTTGCATCAAGGACACAGGCACCCTTGATGCAAACGATGTAGAGCTGGCCATGCCACCCAGTAGGACACACCCACTCCATCCACGCCCACCCAGTAGGCTGCACCCACCCTGGCCCCCAAGGGCAACCACAATGCTGATGCGGCCCTCAATGAAATTGAGTTTGACACCCATTTTAGAGAGTTGTTGAGGCCACCTGGAGGTTTATCTGTGTCATCAGGGTCACTTGAGTAGTGCAAATAGAACTGCTGAAAAGACTGTGTTGTAGACTGGAGATAGATGATGTTATATCCTTTACCCTCTGTTGAGAGAGGGCTGTTCAGTTTTGACATAGATGGCCTCTTTGACCTTTCTTTCAAACCAGTGGTCCTCTCTGTCCAAATGTAGACTTTGCTGTCTTCAAAAGAGTGGCCTTTGTCTTTTAAATGCAGATGGACTGCTGACTCTTGTCCCGATGGGTTTGTTCTCCTATGTTGTGCCATTGTTTATGAAGTGATTGTTTTTTTCCCCAATGTACAGATCTGCACATGGCTCACTACATTGTACTGCATATACCACTTTGCTCAATTTGTGTCTAGATGTTTTATTCTCGGAGTGGACAAGCTTCTGTCTTAATGTATTTTTGGGTTTAAAGTGTGCACATACGTTGTGTTGGCTGAAGATCTTCCTCAGCTTTTCCAACATTCCTGCAACGTATGGAATGACAACATTGCTTTGTTTGTTGTTCTTTTTTTGTCTGTTATGGAGGAGCTCCTGCTGGGTCTTTTTAGGGATTTGCTGAAGGTCCACTTGGGTTAGCCACAAGTTCTGAGGGCTTCCTTGATGTGTTTTAGTTCTTTTTCTTTCCCATCTTTGCTTGGTAGGCAGACCTTCTGCTCAGTGGTGTTGGGTTCTGATAACTCCCATTTTTTCTGCTCCAGTGGGTCTTGCCTTGGCTCCCCCCTTCTCCCCCCATCTGTCTATCTATCTATAATTTCATAGATAGAAAGTTAAAATACAAAATTGCAGCAAAAAAGGAAACATAGGGGTTTCATTTCCTGAAAAATAGAAATATTAAAAAAAGGAAATAATTTGAACAATTTAAATAATTAATTTGAAAGGAACCCTTCACTTATTTCTTATTTAGTTGCTTGGAACTGTTTCCTTTTCTGTAGCTTAGCCTGGTGATATTTTGAAATAACATCACATTTCTTTCAAATAAGTTTGTCTCTTGTGCATGCAGTGAGAAATGTTGATACAATGTCTCTCACAGTCTTTGTATCTTCATGAAGTAAACCCTCTATTTGCATAGTCAATATTCTTATCCATAGGTTTTAGATCTGGAAACAATTCATTAAATTTTGTCACCAAGTAATCAATTACAGTATATCAGCATTCTCAGCAGTTTCTCTAAAATCTCTGATCCTTAAGGTTATTTCTTTTGCAAGATCAGTATTCTGATCTTATAATTTTGCCAAATTTATCTTGTTATTTGAAATATCTTTTTGCTTTTTCTAACTTAGATAATATTCTGTATGCTAGAATCATATTATAGGCTACCTACTTAGGCTATATTAGACATTTGCTTTGACATTACCCTAAATTGTGTATTAATTTATTATGCCTGCTAAGTTTTCTCTTATCAGCATTATAGTCTCCTCCCATTTCAGTTTTATGTCTTGCTTGAGTTGTCTGATCAATATTTGACTGAATGAGAATCAATGTATTGTTTACCACAATGACTTAACTCAGATGGTTCACCTCTAGTTGTCTCTATTGTTGATTTATTCCTCTTGGTTGCTGGAGGAATGATGAGCTTCATATAGTTGTGGTTTCTTCAGATATAATTCAGATGTAATTCCTTTGCTTTTATGTGAGGTATCTTTTCTGTATTCTAATTTTATTCTTGTCATCATTTATCTTCTGCAGGTGACATAGTGGGACTTTATGAAGCAGCTGGACAAAATAATCAGATCTGCACAGGAATTGTCACCCGAACGGCCTCCAATTCAATTACAATCGCAGTTGATGAGCCTCAGAGTAACCTTGTAAATTTAGATCAGGAGAATTTGTACTGTCTGTTGAAACTTGCCAATGATGTTACATACAATAGACTCAAAAGGTAAACTACTATAAAAGGATGATTATGGAACTTTTATGTCTTAAGAAATAAAAAAAATCTTTATTTAATAACCAGAATTCTGAAAGGAAGTAAGGAAAACAGTTATGTGAGGTACAGCTGGGAGATATCTTTCCATTTGCTCCATTGTGTTGGGATTTTGGATGATAGCCTCATCTTCCTAGGTTCATGAACGTTTCTCTGTTTTTTTGCTCAGTAGTTTATTGGCTGCTGCGTTTTTGTCATACAGAGCACTTTATAATGCTTATGTTGGCAACATATGTTCATAACCTGGGCCTTTTACTTGTGAAAATGATAAAACAAGAAGGCTCCAGATGGCATGTGCCTATTGGATTAAATTGGCATGTGGTTGGAAGTTTTTTTCAGCCCTGGCTGAAGGAATTAGTGGAAGAGAAGTTAATTTAACTTTACAGACTGATAATACTAAGTTCCTGTGAAGTTTTATTATGGTTTTGAGACTACGATATGTCATTTCAAGCTGATCACACAACATTTGTAATTATTTAAGATATTGCTTGGTATTGTTTCATAAGTTTTGAAGGGGTTGTCTTTAAGATTCAGTTCCTTTATTGTCTTCTCTTTGACAGGGCTTTAAATACACTTAATCACTATGGGTCTGGTCCAGCATCTGATCTTATTGATGTGCTATTTTGTTCTTCTGAACCTAGTGGTGCCAGTGATACAAGTAAGAATTCTTTCTTTTTTTAATGAATGATGAAAAATCCATCAGAAGTTTAGTATATGTCTGATTTAATTCACAACTGGTGTCCCTAAAAAGTCTTCCTCTCTTGCCCTCTGTGTTGCCTTTTGAAGAAAAGATATAAATGAATCTTGTTTTCTTTGTTCAGTCCTTTTTGCACTGACCTGGCATACATTACACAAATATAAATATTTATGTCATAGAGGGCAAGCATTTATATCTGGGCAAGTATTGTTGTGTATTGTCTTTATAGATCTTTACAGCAAAAGTAGAAATGTTTATTCATTTATCAAAATGATAAAATCAGTTGTTGACTAGGTTCTCACATCCTGCAAGGCACAATGTGGGATCCTAAGCACAGTGGTTCTGAATAGATATGCTTTTCCACCTTCAGCAAACATTCTAGCAAGAAACATAAGTTTGTCCATTTGTTTTGCTTTTCACCATTTAGGTGTAACTTTTAATTGTTTCCTGCATTTTCCTAGTTGAACACAATTACCTTAGGCTTTGCTCCTGTTCAGTATTGTATTGTTCCTGAAACATTTCATTTATTTTCATTTGTGCCTTAGTCTCAGTATATACAGTACATTGCTTTTATTGCATTCAGCAGCAAATCTTCAACTCCATATTCACAAAAAGCATTCCATAATTCAAACTTATTTATAATCTACTTACTTTAAATCAAGTGTCTAAACTTGCTTTTTCACATTTATACATTTCTCAATCCGATCTGCTTGTGTGTGCCTCTGCTGCTTTGGTATACAGTCATACCGCATTTTCCAATTTTGCTTATTATCACCTCTCTCATACTCATAATCCAAACCCCAGATTATGACCATCCATCACTCATCCCCTATATTCTCAATTTGTCTTTATAATTATAAAGACAAATTATAAATTATAATAATGTTCAACATTTCATAAACCGACTCTTGATTTTTCTGTTTCCATTTCTACCCAGTTGTGCTGGTAGACACAATTCCTAAAGTTAGAAAACATAATAATATACTTAATTATAATATATTAAGTTACAATGAAATATATGAGCGAAACAACTTATCTGTCCTCAAAAATTATAGATGGCTATAAAAGTCATTTTAAATAAATAATTAAGCAAACCTGTTTGTGAGAAAAAAATCACAGCATATAATGTCTCCTTTCTGGTACATAATAATGGAACACAGTGGTTTGTTTAGTGTTGTGTGAACCTACTAAACTCTGTTAAGCTACAAACCATGGTTATATTGTGTGAGTCAAAGTTCTTTAGCTTATACATCAGTACAAATTAAAATGAATACTATATATATAATATTTAAAGGCCAGTTATATAAAGGCTAGTCAATATATCAGAAAAACAGACAGAGTGATTTGGGACTTGGGTTATTCTATTCTGAATAGAAGAGAGAGAATACTTTTAGAAACTCACCTACATTTAAAAACAAGCACCCAGAAATCTCAAAATAGAGAAACCTAGAATTTGGGAATCATACGTATAAAGACAGTTGGTAACCACCAGAGGTCAGCATTTTCCTTTGAGCAGCATAGCCATATCAGTGCTATTGCCACTTTTCCCAAAATGTTCTGCTTCTGCAGGAAAAAAAAAAACTTAGGCATCCCTGTAAAGTCAGAAAAATTCTGATAATTTTTGTGCTGCTCGTCTCTGTTTTTGTCAGATTCTCTTTTTGTAGTGAGATGTCTTTTTGTCCCACCTATTCAACTCTCAGAGGAGAAGCGAGAGAGTGCTGGCTTTAGGAATCAAGGACAGCAGGTGATTCTAGAAGGCCTCTTTTCTCTCCACCATGTCCTGCAGTCATTTGGTCACACTGAATTCCAACCAACTAGAACATCAGATCAATTTTATATGGGTTTTCCCCTGTGGTAAAGGCTAGTGTAAGCAATCAAATACTTACTGGTGCTCCTGGACTACTTTTAGTGGTTGAGTGGTTTTTCTTCTATGTTTTAAATAGTTCCAGTTAGATTTGGGGAATCGCTCTATCCTGATGTGTTAAAGTTTAAAATGTGATGCTTTTGATTGTGTTTATTGGGAAACAGAAACAAAAGTATGCCGTTGTACTCCTGCCCTGCTTTAGCCTTGCATCAGGTCACCATAATAGGAGCAGATGCTGGACCGAACAGCCCTTTAAGTCCTATATAGCAGTTCTGGCATTCTTAGAAGGGATGGATCCTAAAAGAAACAGCAAATTTTGTGAACTGCTGCCTGAAGACAGTTTCCTGAAGCTTATGCACAAATAAATGTACATACGTGACTTTCTTCAGCATTATGTTTTTTTGATAGCTGTGTGCAGATGCCCTTGGTGTCACTCAGAAGTAACTGAATTTTAGCCCCATAGCTGAAATCGAGTCTACTTTCTTAAATATTAGTAGCATCCAAGTAGTAAAATCCAACAGAAGGTGCGCAGAAAAAGCCCAAACTAATTTACCATAAATCATGATGTACTTTGAGGTTGACAGTAAATACTGCATTTTTGTTTCTGTTTTCCCTAACACTTGCAGTCTTTGCTTGAGAGAACATAAAAGTGGCAGTTTATAAATTGCTTATATACCTTTAGCGAATTGTGAAAAATAAGAAGTCTAAATACTGGGGCAGAATCATTGCTGTGAATGAATGCGGAATTTGCCCCATGAATTAACCTTTCAGTTAATTTAACATGGTAAAAAAGCTTCTGTCTTTATACCAAAACTGGCTCCTATCTCTCATGTGCACCATAGATCCGCTGTCCTGTCCTTGAATCTGTTCTGCAGAAAAATACCAAATGCATTATAATTTTCTCTAGCGATTGGTTTTGCACTCATACATCTTGGCAAATAGGCTTTCCTGACATGCCTTCTCTCATTCTGCATTTGTCAACTGATAAATGAATCTGATCTTGTGAATAACTTAGAATGCAGTATAAAATGGCAAGTGGAGCCAAAAGCTTCTTTTGCATTCATGACATATAGGACTTTTGGCTTTTGAAGGGTAGCTTAGTCATGACTAACAAACCAGAGCTCCTTCATGCTGCCACAAGAGTTGGAATCTTTCATTTGTACTGTTTTGCTAAGGGCTGCAGTATTGCCTTGTTGATCAGCAAGAAGTGGAACATAAGCATGGTAAATGGAAAATGCATTAAAAGTATGCTTTCTTACAAGAAAAGTCCCTATAGCTCATGTTAAAATAAGGGAAATGTTCAAGTGTTCACAACAATTTTTAAAGGTTGATTTTATATATGGAAAGAGGACTTATTTAAACATTCTTATTTTTAGGTATTAAAAGAAATGTTGATTTTGCATCTAACGTTTTTAACCATAAAAAACATTATAAAACAGCAAAAAAAAGTTAAAACAAAATGTTGCTCGGATCAGCAGTCACCAACATTTCCAGCTCCACAGACTGGCAGCGGTGGTGGTGATGGGGAAGGGATAGTTTTGCACGCTTGCCTGCCTCTTGTGCAACCCAGTTCCCAATGGGCCACAGACCGGTCCCGGTCCATGGACTCGGGATTGGGGACCCTTGGCTTGGATAATCTATAAAAATAAGTTGAAATATAGGATGATAACTTTCTAACATATTCTTTACCATTCATTATAAAGCCTGCTGTTACTATGATTTTACAAACATCTGTCATTTGCTTTTTGTGTTTTAAATAAATCTGCTATTTGCATTGGTTTAATAAAATCTGCCTGAGAAACAGTTTTATGGTAAAACTGTAATGCTAGCATCTCTCTACTTCTTGCAGAAGAGCTATTCCAATAGGGCATCTTAGCAGCAGAAAATTTGGAGGGAGAATTCTTTTCTTGCCATTCAGAATGCAAAACCTTTTGGCATCCTGATGCCGCAAAGTGGCATTGTTGCCCCTTTTGATGTGCCAGCTCCAATAGCTAGAGAGGAATTAAATTGTCCACTTGGCGTCTTTTGCCAGTCTGAAATTAAAAATGCCCGTTCCAATAGCATTTGCCAAACTTACGATGACAAGAACTCCTACTTACCAACTGCTCCCCTATATATAAAACTGCTGTTTATATTTTAATTGATGTCTTCTGGATTTTGGTGAATAAATGTTCTTCTGCTTCTTCCTGCAGTACTGGGATCAAATAAGCTAAAAGCTTCTTTTGTAATTGTAATTGAAAAGCTGGTGGGATGTGGAGGAGGACGGGGTGATCAATAATAATAATAGTATAATAATGATAATAGCAGCAATAATATCAACACTAGCATAATATCAATTCCTGAGATCCACCCAAAGCTAAAATGACATATAACATTTTTTAAAAAGTGAAAGTCTTCTGAAAGTTCCCTTTTCCCATTCCAGTTGGGGTTGCATACTAGAAGGAGAAGTGAAATGTTATACATGATGTTAATTAGCAGTTTCACTCCCTCCCCTGCAACTATCATCAAGAAAAAAATGGTGGACCTGAATTAAGAAATAAAGGTATAGATATTTATGTAGTTATTTTAAAGTTTGCACAGAGCACTCAAAACATGAGGTTTGAGGAAAATAAGAAATAAGGTATGATATCCATACCTGTCAGCTCCATTGTTCTAGCTGGGACCCCCCCCCCACACACACACAGTGGAACATTTTCCAACTGACTAAAGAGTACTTTCCTTGCATCCTTCCAGCAGCCAGTATTGTCGGCTGGCCATTTCAAGGTAGCGCTTCTTGCTCTTTTTACTTCTCTGCCTAATGAATTGTTAGCAGTTGTTCTATGAAGCTCTGTTGCTCATCTAATTACACATTGGTGTACAAAGCTATAATTAAGGTTTTGGCTCAGCATATTGTACTTTTAGGAAAGAAAGGTGTCTGTGTTTTTTCAGGGAATTTCCTAGTAAGAATGTATTCTGTATGGTGGAACCGTGAAAGGCAATGGGCTGTTAAAGCACATTAATCTTCTGTTATTCTTTCAAAGACTGAAAATATTTGCAATAAAACAGAAACTTTCTTGAGAGATGCCAGGCCTCAGTGGGGGCTTAGAATTGGTCTTAGTAATTATCAGGATGCTTCCTTTGCTGAGAAATCTGGTCAGTGTCCAAAAACAGCCTCTTCTTATTTGTATTGTACTTGCTTTCTCACAAATGTTCTTGGTGAGACTGAAATCTGAACAAATGCTCCTGCTGCTTCCAGGGCTTTTGAAGTTCTACAATGAATCCCTGGATGCCTCCCAGAAGGAAGCTGTTTGCTTTTCATTGGCACAGAAGGAACTTGCTATCATCCATGGACCACCTGGAACTGGCAAGACAACAACTGTGGTGGAGATAATACTCCAAGCTGTGGAGCAAGGCTTGAAAGTGAGTGAGTGAAAACATTTTCTGAAGAGATGCCTATTTAGGCCGGAAACCTAGGTCCCTGTGGCCATTGTACTATTCTGAGGCAAGAATGGAAGGCGAACCTTGCCATTCAGAATGAGGCGCATTTCAGCTTTGGTTAAAGCATGAGATGGGAAGTAGCTGGCTGAGTAAGGGGTATTGCCTACAGTTCTTAATAGACCTGTAGCCTCTTTCATGCTTATAGCACCTTCTCAGTGTTTTAAGTCCAGTATGGCAGGTGAATTGGGAAGTGTCACAATACATACAGATGCTTTTCTCAGCGTATTAGAAATGCATATGTGTAAAAATTGCAGAGTGGGTGTGAGGGGAGGGGGAGAAATGAAAAGGGCTTTGGGACCATGAACTGCTGGCAAGATGCCTCATATTTGGGTGTAGACAATACTTAATTGCATTGCCCATTACTAATTGCTCTAATGTTTGGGGGAAAACAGTGTTGGAACTGATGAAAAGCTTGCACATAGGTTTGTGTGGAATTGTATGCGAATGTTTGAAAGAATGCTATGTGCAAGAATGATGTATTTGTTACTGTATAAAAATATGGGGATGCTTGATAATTCCATCCTTCATTTTAAAAGGGATGTATGTTAAAGAACAATAGGTTGATAGTCTAATATAATTTAAGTCAAAAGTTAACTGGTCTATTTTTAACAAAATGTCCAAAAGGTTTTGGGATGAGGGGAGAGGGAACGATTAATTTTCAAAGAGAGAAAATAAAAGAAAAGGAATTGAACTTTAAATATAAATATAAACAAATAATAATTGGTAGCCCTTGTGGAAAAATAAACTACAGTATGGTAATATTATTATGCTCAGAGGAAGAGTTTTGTGTTTGTTTAACTACAATTCCCAAAGCTCTCTGTTCATAAAATATTATTGTTAAATAAAGTTTTAATTGTTTATAATAAACTGGATCTCTGGGTAAATAACCTGAATAAAGTAATCCCCTCTCCCATATCTATGATACTAAACTACTAGGAAAAGAAATAGTAGAAGGTAGGATAATAGTATAAAATAAAACCTTAACACAGAAACGAATAATTTTGGGTTGGTAACAGTGATATTTTAAAATCTATACATTTGTCCTCAGAATACATTTAGAAAAACATTAGGTCATGAGTATGGGAATTTTAGTTATAATATAAACCTTAGAAGATTCTAGAGAATGGCCATTTGGCAGTATAAAAAATTGGATATGGGGGGTCATACGAGGTCTATGTTCCATTTTTGGAGATGTAGGTAGTCAAAATCTCAGCAGAAAGATGCATAATTTTATTTCACGAATACACATTTTTAAGAGTCACCATGTTTATCTTACAATTTGGGTTCTTTGCGATGGATAATATTCTTATTTCCACTTAGAAGTAAAGGAAAAACTTTGGAAGCATTACAGATTCATCCAGGTTACCTGTATTTCTAGAAAAATCTTCATTTTCCCTGCTAATCTCTCTATATTAATGTTCTTGGCTGAAGCACAACTGTTTCTGCTCAGAGATGTTCCTGGATCTTCTGAGGTTCAGTGAGATGTAGAAGTAAAGCTTTGGAATTAAAGGGTATCATCAGGCACACAAAGGAAAAAAAGAAAAAGCTGAAAGATCCTTGGCAGGTTAGAACTTAAATTTGGCTGGGACTAGTATCTTCAAAGTAACTTTTGTCCTTGATCTTGGTTTAATCCTTTGAATTTGTACGGTTCTTTTTAGCTCAGAGGTCTAACATATAATAAAGTCCTTCAAACTCCAGGTCAAATCCTGATCCAGCTTTGACTTGAGAATAATCTCTTTTCCTGGCACTTATAAAATAACCTCCTTCCTTTTCCTTTTGCCCTTGATGCTTGTAGTGTTTCTGTAAACTATAGATATGAATCTGTGTAGGACTGTAGCTATTTCAGTGAAGTGAATTAATACTGTTTAAAGAGATATTTTTCTTCCTAGGTTCTCTGTTGTGCTCCCTCTAATATTGCAGTTGATAACTTGGTGGAAAGGATCTCTGTTCATAAGGTGCGAATCCTGCGTCTTGGTCGCCCAGCTCGTCTTCTAGAGTCCATACAGCACCATTCGCTGGATGCTGTCCTATTGCGTGGAGATAATGCCCAGATTGTAGCAGACATCCGGAAGGACATTGATCAAGCTTTTGTAAGTCTTGTATTACATTTTTACAGCAGTTTTCAAAAATAATCTATAGAATAAATCTGTAGCGTTCTTTGTGACATTGTATTCTTGGAATAAGTACAGTGCTATTGCAGAAGTGATTGAATATGTGTCTTATCTTGAAATTGAACCAAAACTCCTCAGATATATAAGCAGTGTTGGGTGGAATGGCTATAACTAAAAATATCTGCAGCTTTGTAACTGACTCTGACATAATGGGATATTCTGTAGAATATTCAGTCAGTCAGTCAGTCTTTAGGGATCCAGTCTTTTCTTTCCATTTTCTTTTTCCCAAGTTTTGTAGCATTGTTAAGAGCAAATTGAGATTCTTCACTCAGTTTTTCTCCGCCCTTCTTTCCTGTGTACTTTCGATTTTGCTTTGTTTTCCCTCCCTGTTATTATTACCTGTATGTGGAAATAACAGAAGGAGCCATACTTGGTCAATCAGTCCAGAATTAAAATACAGTCAGGATTGACAATGCAGTGCTCTCAAACAGCTCTTAGCACACCCATGTGACTTTAAATGTTTATTTAACTTAATTTTAATACATTGGCTGGTGGGAAAGCCACTTTTCAAACTCTTCCCATTTCTGAGGATGCCCTGTGGACTTCATTAGAATATTCTTCAGAAAGAGGAGGAGATGGGCTGTTAGGGGAGAGTTGTCTACTGTCTAATAATTTTAACTTGCTAGTTAACTTTTTTAAAGACAAGAAAGAATGAACAGATACTGTTTAATAAATGTTAAGGATTGTGAAGGGAGCAGCTTCAAGGGCTTGGAAGGAGCAGGAAGGAATTGACATTATAGGTATTTTCTGAACTTTATGGAATTCCTAAGAACCAAGGAGGGAACAGCACACTGGAACTTTGTGTGATCTGTGGCAATACTGCCTTTTCAGTTTGCTTCTACGATTAAGGCCAGGTCAAGGCTGAATCATTTAGCTGGGTTTAGAATAAATCATTTAGAATAATTTAGAATAAATAAGAGGTCTGCTTCACGAAAGGCCCTTTCTCTATTTCTTTGAGACTCTCCAAACAGAGACTGCAATTTTAAATTACATTGATAACATTACAACTGATAACTGATAGGAAAAAAGGCCAGAAAGTAAGATGTCTCTACATTTTCCTCTCTTTCCACCCCGCTTGCCTTGTAAAATTATTGGTGAACAGAATCTTAGGGCTATATCACATCTTCTTTATTTAATTTTCTATTTTACATTTATTTTAAATATGGCATTGTTTGAAGTATATTACAATTCAAATTATTGTCTGTTGTGCCTGACCACCTTGCAGAAATTAGCAATAACTCCATTTTAATCTCTGTGCTAGGAGGTTATCACTACCAGTTACACACATACACACACACACACACACACACACACACACACACACTCAGCAATCTCTGGAGACCACGTTTCCAAAAGGCTAGAGGTTTTGTACACTCTAACGAAAAGGCAGGGCTATAATCCATCACAGATGTACATGCTTGCATATGAAGTCCTGATGGCTTCTTCTGCCTGTTTGTGTAGGCGCCTGGGATATGTGTATTTACTATATGATGGAACGAGGAGGAAAGTAGAGGCCAGCATGTATTTCAGGGGTTTGCCTATTCAACACACACTTTTGATTGACTGAGGTTTCTGATGACTCATTTTTGTGCATATTCAAGATACAGATAGTCCTCAACTTACGGCTTCAGTCAGGACCAGAATTTATGTTGCTAAGCATTAACATTTAAATGAGTTGCACCTGATTTTACAATCTTTATATGCCATAGTTGTTAAGTGAATCACTGTGATTGTTGAACAAATCATCTTGTTAAGCAAATTCAGCTTTCCCCATTGACTTTGGCTGTTGGAAGCCCCCTGGGAAGGTCATAAATGGCGACCCCATGGCCCCAGGACACTGCAGCTATCACAAATACATGCTAGGTGCTAAGAGCCCAAATTTTGATCATATGATTAGAGGAACAGTGTGATTGTCATAAGTGTGATGGACAGTTAATCACTTTTTTTAGTACTGTCGTAACTTCAGATGGTTGTTAAATGTATAACCATAAGTTGAGGACTACCTGCAGAACACACGGAAAAAAAGAGGCATTTATGTGAGGGTTGAAAGAAGAAAATAATAAGTGGCTTGCTTATTTGCTATCTTTTAAATTCTGCTGTGCTCAGCACTGTGACTGTTTTCAGTGGCACTTTTTAATACTGTTCAACTTAAGATTTTTTGTAAATTTAATGTTATTTTTATTGTTTGCTTTGTCCTTTTCAGGGGTAGAAAATTGATTTTAATAAAAGATGAGGTTTGGGGAATTTTGAGAGTAATCTCTTCACCAAGAATAGCTCAGCTGCAAACTTCTGTAGAGACATGCAATATATTATAGCTGTGCTACATCCCTAGAGAACTTGTAAGGATGAAGAATGAAAGGTATAAGTCAAGGATTGATTGGCTCTTGCTAAGTCAGCTGCATTTGCATCACACTCACCATTGCTAGGATCCTTGAAGTCATTTTCAATCATTTTCTTGATTGGGCCAAAAGTAATTATTCAGAGGTTATAAGGGATTTATAATTTATACACAGAGACTATAAAGAGTTCTCTTTGGAGAACAAGTACAAGGGCAGTAATCTCCAGTCCTCCCTTAGTTCTCCTGGTAATGATGATACCTCATAGTGTAGCAAGTTTCATTTGCGCTCTTTTGTAAGAAACCAGAAGATCACTTGAAACTAAAAAGAATTGGAGCAAATGACTAGCACTTTGGCAACTTCTTTTTAAATAACTCCTTTGTATTCTAAAATCTATCCCTTTCATTTTTCACCCTGCCTCTGAGAACCTTATTTTTTTTTTCCTCCAACCCTTTTTGATTTGCCTTATCTTTAAAATGTTCAGAAAAGAAGCTGGTGCAAAGTATAGGATCACCGTGTAGGAAAAAAAAAAATCTGTATTGGTTGCCAGTTGCCTATTGGACATAATTTAAGATGACGTGAAACTTTGAATCCCTCTATATTACCATGGGTTTTTTTTAAATAATTTTTTATTTTTCCAAACTCTCCCCCATACATATACCGTGATATTTATCAGATGTTAACATACATTCTTTTTACAATCATATATAAGATACTTTTAATAAAATGAAATAAATACATACACATGACTTTTGGTGTTGCTCGCCTATTTCCCCTTTCACTGTATCCACACTCCTTCTTCTCTACTTTTCTCCCTTTCTTCTCTTCCCTACTTCCCTCTTCTTCCTCTCCTCTTCTCTTTCCTTCACCACTCTCCTCCCCTTTCTCCCCACTTCTCCTCTTCTCCTCCAACCTTCCTACTTCCTTCTCCCCTCTACTCTTTTCTCCTCTCCTCTCCTACCATGGTTTTGATTACTTGAGAGACGATACCACTATGAACGTGCCCACATGGCAAAAGAGCCTCTTTTGAAGGAGTTCCCATTGCCACAGGCAAGCCAGTTCTGTTTTCAGGAATGGGCCTTTTGTGGGCTCCAGACTATAGAATGTTTATTCCATTGCAGTGCAGGTAGTCCTTGCTTAATGACCAGTTGCTTAACGATAGGTCGAAATGACAAAGGCCTCGAAAAAGTAAAGCATTTCCAGCTACCACAGAATGTCACATCCCTGCCAAGGTGATATGATCCCTCCCTCACGTGATTGTCACTTGCCATCTTCCCTACCAGCTTCACCAGAGAGTCGATGGGGCAGCCAGCAGGAAAGATTGAAAACTGCTGCTGACTCCCTCTCATCTCTGGAGGTTGGATGAAAGAGCTCCTTGGTGATCCGTGCCTGCTTGAACCTTGGCAACTGAAATTCAGTCACACATGGACCCCAAAATACCTCTATCTCAGTGGTTCTCAACCTGTGGGTCGGGACCCCATTTGGGGTCGAACGACCATTTCACGGGGGTCGCCAAACAACGCAGTCCGCCATTTTTTCCCCCTTTTCCTTAGCTGTGCTACTCCCTTTTATTCTATTGGCTTTTGAAAGCCAATAGAATAGACTCTCTTGAATAGAGTCTAATTCTATTGGCTTTCAAAAGCCAATAGGAATTGTCCAGGCTGTCTCTGCCCTGCTGAGCCCGCCAAAAGTCCCATTCTGCAAATGGTGCCGCACCAGTGGAGTAGTCCTCGACTTAGCAGCATTAAAAAGGTTGAGAACCACTGCTCTATCTCAAGAAGAATGGCCAACTATGTGCCTGCTTGAAGTTTGACAGCCAAAATCCAAGCAAGCACGGAGCCCAAAATCCCTTCACAGGTATTGTGAGGAACTCCATTTGCTTCATCTGTAAGATGATTTAATGACTGCGACAGGAGTGCTGGGATCACTGTTATTGAGTGAAGGACCCAGGTGGGTTTCTCCCTTAATGTCCACTTTGCTCAATAACCAAGATTCCAGTCTCAATTGTGGTTGTTAAATGAGTACTACCTGAATGTTTTTAATTCCAGCAACTTTAAAATATGTGGACTTCAATTCACCAGCATGCTGCCTAGAAAAGGCTACACATTTTAAAGCTGCTGTGATTGAAAAGCACCGCTCCAATATTTAGCTCCTGTTCTTCCATTATTTAGGAAAATGGCAAATCCCACTTTCAGTTTTGACTTTTGACTGTTAATTGCTTTAAGCGATACTGATTTTCATTTTGAGTTTTACTATGCAGAATTAATTAAACAGTAGTGTTTTTTTATTACTGTAAGCTGCTTTGAATATTTATATAAGCAGAAAAACAGGTATACATTTAAAAATATCAAGAATTTAATGAATACTATTATCAACCGCTTCCCTGGTCATATGTTCATACTAAACTACAACTCGCATTGTCCCCAGCCAGTTGATAGGGTCAGATTGGAGAAGATCCACCCAAAAAGCATTTGTGGTGTTCTAATGGCATTTTATCAGAGAAATTCTGCTGTTTTACAATTTCCTTGACTACTAAATATGAGCTGTGCTGCGATCACTGTCTCTCTTATGCAGATGAAAACCAGGAAGACCCAAGACAAAGGAGAGAGAAAACATTTTTTAAATGAAATTAAGATACTGAGAAAGGAACTGAAGGAACGAGAAGAAATGGCTATGTCTGAAACCTTGCAAAAAGCTCATGTTATTCTTGCAACGAACACAGGTTAGGAGAATTTTTCTAGATTTTGCCTGTAAGGTTTAATCAAATGATTACCTATTACTGATAGAACTGTTCTATTTTTAACTCTAATCTACTTAAACTGAATCTCCCAAACTGCATAGTATATCTTTGAACTGTTTTTTACTCCAGTATCTATAAAGATAAATAGTAAATAGTGCATTATATTATTCATTTATTTGTATCCCTCTTTATTATTTTTGCCTGTAGCTCAAATACCCAACACATCTTCCTCCTCCTATTTTTTCCACAAGAACCCTGTGAGGTGGGTTGGGCTGAGAGAGCGAGAGAGAGAGGGGGGGGGGAGAGAAAGAGAGAGAGAGAGAGAGAGAGAGAGAGAGAGAGAGAGAGAGAGAGAGAGAGAGAGAGAGAGACACTGACCTAAAGTCACCCAGCTGGTTCACCGTTTCCTGCTTTCTAGCCTAAAGTCTTAAACCACTTAGATCAGTGGTTCTCAACCTTTCTAATGCCACGACCCCATAATACAGTTCCCCATGTTGTGGTGACCCCCAACCACTTATACATCACCGGGTGCCAGGGGCATGGCCAAAGAAAAGGGGGAAAAAATGGCGGACAGCCTTGCTTGGCGACCCCTGTGAAATGGTCGTTCGACCCCAAATGGGGTCCCGACCCACAGGTTGAGAACCACTGACTTAGACCAAATTGGGTCTCCAGTCTTGCTGCCCAATTTACCTTTTTCTTTTGATCATCAAGTTTTATTCTGTGACTGGACGATTTGGTAACTAATCAATACTATGAGAATTTGAACAGGAGACAAATTCTGCTGCTCACATTTTACAAAGCATTGCTTGCAGCTTTCTTGTTCCGTTTAATGAAGGAAAGGAATTTATGCATTATTTATAGGAATAATTAAGCCCTTGAACCAGCAAAGGCGGGAATTTATTTTTGTTTCCGAGTGCATACACAGCCTCTTGGAGAGGACTCTCAACCAGACTGCAATTATTTATGTTTGGGGAACTGCTTCTGATCCCATAAGGATAATTTTCAGGAAACCTTGCAGATAATTTTGTGTAAACAATATACATTAAAATATCTAACGTACAAAGTTGATTTATGAACCTAATATCAATTCCAATTTCTTACTGAAAATTATATTCCCCTTCTGCTCTGAAATTTCTCATATCAGAGAATTCTGGGCAAGCTCTGGATGTTATTTAAAAGAAATACTTTAGTCAACAATCTAATAGAAGGCATAAAATCATACTCACTCCTTTGTTGATTTAATTTACTTCTCCTGGGAAGGTTCCAAGGCCTGAGGATGACGTTGCTCAGTCCTATTCTGTTCATCCTACTTTAAGTGATGTCCTTAAAAAAAGACCATGTTCATTTGCAGAGGGACAGGCTACTTCATACAAAGTGGTGTTCGCTTCTTTAGAGGCAGACACCATCTCTGCAATTAGTGTGGTAAATGTCTACATGTATTGTCCACACCATTACAGCCAGCCCTGGAAATGGAATTATCCACAAGTGGCAGGTCTCCAACCATGTCCAAAATTTTGTGTGGATTTTAATTGCTGTGAATACTCAGTCAAATGACTTGCGAATAATCTTTTCTCCCAACCTCTGTTGAAACTTTAACTTTAAGAAAACACCTGTCTGACCTTGATGAATATAAATTACGGGGACCTGATGGATTACATCCCAGAGTTGTGAAGGAGCTGGCAGATGTTATCTCAGAACAATTGTATCATATCTTTAAAAAATCTTGGAGCACTGGGGAACTACGAGAAGATTGGAAAAGAGCTGATGTGGTTCACATTTTCAAAAAAGGGGAAAAAAACAGACCCAGGAAACTACAGACCAATCAGCCTGACATCAATACCTGGGAAGATACTGGAAAAAATAATCAAAAAACAGATCTGTGAATATCTAGAAACAAAGTTATAACTACTGTAGTAGCCAGCATGGGTTTGTTAGAAACAGATCATGCCAAACCAATCTTATTTTATTCTTTGACAAAGTGACTAAATTAGTAGACCAGTGAAATGCTGTGGATATTTAGACTTCAGCAAGGCATTTGACAAAGTAGACCACAACCTACTTCTTGGTAAGCTAGAAAAATGTGGCATAGACAGCATCACCACCAGATGGATTTGTAACTGGCTGACAAACCGTACTCAATGAGTAGTCCTTAATGGTACTACATCTACATGGAGGGAAGTAAACAGTGGGATACCACAAGGTTCTGTATTAGGCCCAGTACTCTTCAATATCTTCATAAATGACTTAGATGAGGGAATACAAGGGGATCTAATTAAATTTGCAGATGATACTAAGCTGCCAGGAATAGCCAGCACCCCAGAAGACAAGCTCAGAATCCAAAAAGATCTTGATAGACTTGAACACTGGGCCCTATCCAACAAAATGATATTAAATGTGGAGAAAAGCAAGGTTTTACACCTGGGCAGGAAAAACCAAAGTTGCAAGTACAAATTAGGCAAAACCTGGCTCAAAAACAGTAACTGTGAGAGGGACCTTGGAGTCCTAATGGACGATCACTTAAAAATGAGTCAGTAGTGTGCAGCAGCAGCCAAAAAAGCTAATACAATCCTTGATTGTATAAATAGAGGCATAGAATCAAGATCACGTGAAGTATTAATACCATTTTATAAAGCCTTCGTAAGGCCACATCTGGAATACTGCATCTAGTTTTGGTCACCACATTACAAAAAAGATGTTGAGATTTTGGGAAAAAATGTAGAGAAGAGCAACTAAGATGACTAAAGGCCCGGAGACTAAAACATATGAAGAATGGTTGCAGGATTTGGGAATGGCCAGTCTAGAGAAAAGGACTAGGGGGGACATGATAGCAGTATTCCAGTATTTGACAGGCTGCCACAAGGAGGAGAGAAGCAATCTGGAATTAAGGAGAAACTCCCTAACTGAGGATAATTAACCAGTGGGACAGCTTGCCTTCAGACGTTGTGGGTACTTCATCACTTGAGATTTTTAAGAAGAGACTGGACAGCCACTTGTCTGAAATGATATAGGACTCCTGCTTGAGCAGGTGGCTGGACTAGAAGACTTCCAAGGTCCCTTCCAGCTCTATTTTGATTCTAACTTTTTGATAGTTGTCTTGATCTAGATTGTTTTGAGGTGCTTAGTCTAATAACTAGATCCGCCATCCAGGTTTTTAAATAATAGTATGTTTTCCAAAAATGTGGGGCTATTATGACGAGCAAAGGAATCCTTTTCCACTTTAGTTTTTTTCATAGAAACCTGCGGGGGTGGGATTCAAATATGTGAACAACCAGTTCTGTGTGGATGCCGCTTCCGGAAGTCCATTCTGGGCCTGGGCAAAAAAAAAATTAGCTACCAGTTCTGCCAAAGTGGTGCAAAATGGCTGAATCCCACCACTGGAAACCTGGTTTGCACTGGTTGTCAGAAGCAAAATGTCAAACATTGTGGTTTTAGAGGCAAAATGCAAAATTGTTTTATTTGTTAAAAGGCAATTGGGAATAGATGACTCGGCACTTTTCTATTTGCTTATGTATGGATGCTTGTATGTGTGTGTGTGTGTATTTATGCATGGATGTGTATACATAAATATACAATCAGCTTTTTATTCCCTTTATAAGCATAAACTGCGTATGTGTTCAGGCTACATATAGTTATATATTTTCTGCGAATGAATTGGTTTGAAATCAGTGGCATAGACATCGGTCAAGAATGAAGATTTACAGTGTTGAAACATCAATTTCTCTGCAGTAGATTCTTTCTCCACCCCCCCCCCTTTTTTTTCAGAAGCATGTTCCCCTTGGAGCAATTACCCAGTTTTTATAACTGAAGGTAGAAATCATTGTTGCCTTCTCTCTTCTGCAAGGTTATTTGGTGCAACCCAATCTTGTCACTTTATTGCTATGCTCAGCAGGTAAACTTAATTGCTTTTATCCAAGGAACGGCACTGGCTTTTAATTAACTGAGCTCAATACACTAGGATTTTCCCAGAATGGTTAAAGTGGAATAAACCAGGACTTGCGTAATTCTACATGCAACTCAAAGACAGATCAAATAGTATGTGATTGGTAATCATAAGTCCAGCTAACCTGTACAACTGACTATTCTTTAAATATTTTTCTTATGTTTTAAACTGTTGTGTGTGTACAACCCCAGAAGGCTATAAAGAGAATGTTATGACATCTCCAGTACTACTTGTCCTTCGTCCAAAAACTCGGACACATAGACACAAATGCAGACTTGCAACTTTTACTGTTTACCTTCTGAATTAAAAGCTGCACTCATTCACACATCCTTCACACATCCTGCTTAGCTAGTAAGGCTAAGAGAAGAAACAAGAGAGGGCACCTCTGTAACCAAGGCTTGATCAGTCCCAGATCTACCTTGACATTGTTACCTTACTCCTGCCATTTTTCCACTAGATTGCCACTGGCTCATTCATTTGGAAATAATCTACTGTTTTGAGAACTATAATTTTTATTTTATTCAAAGTCTTCATTTTTGTAATTTTCTATGTGCTACATAAGTTGAAATCATTTTGAGCATCCCTTTCTGAGGCTGTATTGTGATTGCCACTCTAGGAGGAAGCAAAAGTCTAAGAATAAAGATGTTATTTCCAATAATTCAGTACTTCATTTTCTCTGCTTGTAAATTATGTTTTGGCTATTACATGGCCATGTGGCCCTATGATGTATGGTAATTTTATTGTTAGGCGACTTATTAATAGCATCCTTGTTGTTTAAATGGGCAGATTCCTTCCATACCATTGCTAAGAAAACTATACAAAAGTAGTGTATTTCTGGAGATTAGTTGGTGGGGAAAAGAACGGGAGGATGCTATTGCATTCAAGTCCTCCTTGTGGGCTTCCCATTGGTATCTATTTTCCTATTGTGGAAATGGAAGATTCAGGTAGATGGACCTGCTGTTGGGTCCAGAGAATGTTCTGCCAAGCTAAACAAAAGGGTAGAGGTTACGGGCACACTGTAGCCCAAAGTCCTTCCATAGATATAAACTCAGCAGCTCTTTCATTATAGGCTTGAAAATCAGTTTCTTTTCATTCCACACACAAATCTGCTAGCTGTTTCTTCTGCCCCTTTTTCTGACAGATGGATTTCTTATAGCAAATAAACAGTTGTGAATAAAAAGGTAGAATTTACAAGGAGGGTACAACTGCTGGTTAGGCATGACCATGTGTATGTTGTTTTCTGAGTATAAAAGAGGTTTGTCACAGCTATCTTCTGGGATTTTTATGACTTCCTAGTCTAAGTCTGCAGCTCTGGGATTTGCTGGTGGTCTTTTATCCAGCTGTTAACTAGACCCAATCCTGCTTAGCTTGCTAAAACCTGTTGATTTCATCCACTCTAATTTAGTTATGTCTATTATTGTTCAGTAGAAGAATGTTTTGATGGAAAGGAAAATTGACGACATCATTGGAAACTTCATTTGTGGCAGCATGTAACTGAAGATCATACAGCCAGAAAAGTGGCAATAACCACACAATCCAATACAGGAGGAATATATCTATCTATCTATTTATCTATCTATTTATCTATCTATCAATCTATTTTATCTATCTATCTCAGGGTTGAATTGTGGAGTCCTTGCTACTCTCCCAGCTTTGCTGATTGTTTACAAATGTTTCATTACCTGTCTAGATAAAGTTACCTAGTCAGGTAATGAAACATCTACAAGCAAGCAGCCACACTCAGAAAGCCCCAAGGGATCAGAAGACACAATCTTTTAAGACAACTAGTCCTTTTCCATTTGTGCAATGCTGAAAGGCTTCAGTGTAGTTTTTAATCTTGTTTTTAATTAGGTGCTTCTTCTGATGGTCCATTGAAGCTTCTTCCTGAGAACCACTTTGATCTTGTGGTGATTGATGAATGTTCTCAAGCTCTTGAAGCAAGCTGTTGGATCCCACTGCTGAAAGTTAGGAAGTGTATCCTGGCTGGTGATCACAAACAGCTGCCTCCCACAATCATCTCTCACAAGTAAGAAAATGTCCCGATTAACAATTAATTATTTTAAAGGTGCTGGGGAAAAGCCTGTCTGGAAAATGGCATGTCAATTAGAATAGCCATCTTTGTATTTAATTGCACAGCAGGTAGAGATAACCTTCCTTGTTTTTTAATGAATTTTGGCTATATATGTCAGCTGCTTATTATAAAGTAGAAAACTTAAAGCAGCTAACTTAAATTAATAGAGAAGCAATTATTATTTGAGCTATAAATTATTAACAGAGCACACTCTTGAACTGAAGAATACACCTTGTGAAAGAATAAGAAATAAGACTTGAATGTATTTTTAGATTAGAAGAAAGCAAATATTTGCCATGGTTAATCTTATATTACAGTCTAATCATTTGAGATGTCCACACTTCAGAGGTCTTCTGTTGAGGGGATGGTTGAACTGAATTTATTTTTCTTTGTGCACAATTTGGGAATTTCTCTTACAACAAGAACAGTGATGAAAAATGAAAAGACATTATGGATATTTTTTTTTTGCTACACCCATACACTTAAGTGGGCCCAGTATAATCTCCATAACTGGTTTGCAGCTGTATGTAAGAGCTTGTAGGCTTCCAGAAACTGAGGAACTATAACTCTGAACATTCCTTTTCATTCAGTACTGTATGCTGGATAGCACTGCAGCAGACACTTTTGAAATGCTACAGATCTCCTAGCCTTGACCTATTTAAAGAAGCCCATTATTCATATTGTCTGTTATAGCAAAGTAGTTGCTACCTTGCTCCCTAGCGATAGATTTTTGACTTTTTCCATTCTTAAACTATATACTGTGCTTCAATTAATTACTTCCACTTTCAATGAAACTATAGCTTTCAATTATATCCCAAGCCAGTTAATTATATTTTATTGGATATGGATTAATCCTGGTTTTGAAGGATCTCTGTGTGTTATGTATTATTGGTTAACATGTAACAAAGATTTCTGCCAAAAGTGAAACAATTTATTAAAGAGAACCACCCCACAGAGTTCATTTGTTATCAAACAATATATGTTAACCAAGTCTAAATTTGACTTTAAAATATATTGTAACAGTCAAATTGAAATGATTGATTTAATTATAGAACTGCTGTAGAAGAAAGGGCCAAGCCCATGAAGCAATGAGGAGGATAAATTTGACAGTACAAGAGAATTTGGCTCAAGTGCTAGAAATAAAAAAGCATCACTCATAGAAGGAATAAAGGGAAATTATCACAATGGAACAAACTCCTATGCAAAGAGCTTTGCAATTCTATACAATTAACTGCAGAATTTTTCTTGTATAATAAATCATGTAAGGAATCATGTAACCATTTGCATGGTTCAGTCAATTAAAAAAAATACTTTGAGAGAGAATATCTGAACTGGACAATCAACTGTTGGAAAGGGTAGTTGCAGTAGTTAAAAATTCATTATGATGTACTCAGAAGAATTCATTCTGTACTTTATCACAGAACATATGATCTAGATGCACTGTTGCTGAAATACAACCTGCCTAAAACCTGCGTACATTAACTCATACTAATAACAGTAGGTGAAAAGAAATCAGTATGGAAATGGCAATAGCAGTCTACCCTTTCAAAAGTTTTTATTGGAAGCTACTTGCAACCCGTGGTGTTGCAATATCTTGACCAAGAGTCCAAATGAAACTTGGACTTCAAATCCTAGATCTTCAAACGTCCACGTTCTGTGAAACTTTTGTTAAACTTTTCCTGTCAACATAGACTTATTGAGATCCTATTCATATTTTAATTGTTAATGATTTATATTTTGTAAATTTTCCCATGGGTGTGTGTGTGTACGCACATGTGTAGATAGCTTGAATTTTTCTGTTTGCTGTGCTAGAATAAATTGCATGCAATTTATTAAACTGCACCCTGGAAGATGCTAAACCAGAAGCAGGAATGTAATTCTCTACTTTCCCAGCAGAAAATTAGCAGGCAAGAAACTATAAATCGTGCATTGTTGTATATGCTGCTCTTGCTATGAAACTCTTCGGTTATTATTGTTTATGCACGTATGTTTTATGGATTTCTCATATATTTTAAGCATGAGAGAGATCCATAAAACATACGTGCATAAACTTGCCAGGAATAAGTTTAGTTCAGGAAACCTGCACATAATTGCTAATGTAAAGCATTCTTTGTGCTGTTGGCAGATAAAATAGCAAATAGAAGTTTCAACTGAAAATTGCATTGCTTCCTTGAAGACCAGCCACCCCAAAATAGCTCTCTAGTACAAATTTATGCTCTGACAGATTATATACAGTATTGTTGCTTTATAGATAAGATAATCCCAGTGCCAATAAACTTATACTAAAGGCACAGACCGGTAAAATAGTTTCTGCCAGGACATAACCTTAAGTCCTTTTTAAAGTTTCCCCATAATACTTCTACCTTTATGCCATTGTAGATACAATTTTGGATTAATAATAGATGTAATATTGACCAAGATAGTCTTTTCAAATGTAAAGAAATGTTTAGAGAGATGAATAGTAGTAGTGATAGGGCAGTTTAACTTATTATAACCACAAAATCATGTTTAAGAAGGCAGATTGTGAACTGCAAGAAAATAATTATATATGGAGCAAAAGCCAACTTGTCAGTTGTGGAAATGGTGGGTTCTTGCTATACAAATTATCACTATCATTGCAGTCCAGCTCTGAGGCTTTTATAGGAGGACAATAATAATGCAGCATCAGTTGATGATTTTCTTCTTTCCTCAGCACTCCCAGAATTGCCGGGGTTATCTCCAGATGATTGCTTCCTTGTCCTGTTTCTCATCTTTTTAGCAATGCTTAATTTGTTCTATGAAGATGTATTCAAAGGAGAATATACCAGCACAAGATATAATAACATAGTTTATAGGCAGTAGGCTGATCATGATAGCAAGAAATGTTCAACTAAGAGAACACAAAGTTGGAAGGGGCCACTTAGGCATTTATATTTAACTCCCTGCTAAGTACAAAAATCAAAATTCTTGCTTGTGTCAACAGTGGTCTGATTCCTTTAACCAAACATTTAAACTATCCAAGATCTTTCTCCTTAATTAAATATTAGTGAGAACGGTTTAAAGAGGAAAATGCTGACGTTTGAGGCTGATGTGCAGCATCTGGTATTTCAGCTTTGTACTAGAAATCTGGAGACCAGGCATTCTAGTCCCATCTTAGGCACAGCTGGCTGATGCTAGGCCAGTCACTTTTTTGAGCCCTAGGAAGCAGGCAACGGCAAACCACTTCTGAAAAATGTTGGCAACTTCAGGGATTTGTCCTGGGAGTCCCCAAGAATCAGGACTGATTCAAAGGAACCAAAAAAGAGAAATATCTTTAGCTCTTTGGTATGGCAAGGAATGATATGCCCTTAATTGAATGAGATCTGTTATTTTAGGATCAATATAAGGCATCAACATTTCTTTGAAATAGGCACTGCTGGGTATTTTGCTGCTGCTGCTTGAATCTTGACTTATTTGCTCTAATTGTGATTTTTCTGGCAGCAACTGGTTGTGATTGTGAATTGTTGAATTAAGAGAACCTTTGATCATATCTACCAGGGTTAAAATCCTCTTCTCTTTCTCTTCTAATTAGAGAATTCTTAATTACAGTTAGGATTAGTATCACATAGAAATTGTTAACAGCAGGTTTTGCTTCCAGAGCAACTATCACATGTTTGCAAAGAAGAAACTTATAAATGAAATTGCTCCCAAGACTACTACTAAACATAGCTGTAACATATTGGTAGAATATATTGGATTTTACAGACTTTCCTTACCTATAATGCTTATCCATGTGTTTTTCTTATCTCTGCCTTTCTTTGCCCCTTTTAAACTGAGTGTTCTGATAGAACCGAGTTCAGAATCTTAAGGAGACCACTCCCCTTTTTTCACCCCTTAAAGTTCACCATTTACATAGGGGGCACAGACAGTGATGGGATTCAGATATGTGAACAACTGGTTATCTGTGTGGATGCCACTTCCAGAAGTCCATTCTGGGCCTGGACAACAAAAAATTACCTACCAGTTCTGCCGAAGTGGTGTGAACCGGCTGAATCCCACCACTGGGCACAGAATTTAAACAGAGATTCCCAGAAAGTTTCTTCTGGGATGAAAAAATATATATAAGTCCTCTTCTATAGCAAATACTGCTTCTTCTCAAATCACAAAAAGCAATTGCTGCATAGAAGTAAGACTCAACTTTGCTCAATTTAGAGACCTTTAACATGCCAACTACTTTTTCATAATGTCATCCTAGCACACTGAATCTTAATGCCATACGCAACTCCATGGTTATTATTCTAGAAAGAATATTGCTACAAAATCCTAGTTCAGTCTTCCACTGCAGATCTTTTTTTTTTTAAATGCTCTCCGCATCCTAAGAGACCTGTGAGTTCCAGTACACTTTTAAAATAGAACTAGGCTTCTCTTAGAACTAGGGAAAATCTACTTTTGGTTTGTCTTTATGTTACGGTATAAACTGCTGAGTTGGAGAATTATTATGCCGCGCTATTCCCAATATCTAACTTTGTGGTTGCTAGGAGTTAAAAATGACTTTGATGGCACATAATCACTATTTGTGACTTCTCTCAAATTTGTCTAACAATCTACCTGTTGAAGTCTTGTGAAAAACTGGCATTGTACTGGGTTTTAAGAAAAAAATATAGTATTGGATGTCCTGTAAGTTTTATACTATGGATTCAAATTTTATTTATAAATATTTGAATGGGCAAACATTTGCCTGTTTATTACACTTAGCTTGATTGCTCAGAAGAACATTTTAGGGTAAAGTAGACTGGTCTTGTTGGTCCAGACTTGTCCAATGAATCTTTAATTCATTGTTCAAATGCACAAAGTACATACTCGTAACCTATCGTTAAGAATACTTCCCTGGAAAAGGTGAGATGTTGGAGTTTTTGTGAAATTATCCTGGTCTGTACTGATTCATAACCATGCTTAATAAGAAAAGAAGTCTCATTGTGGGGGAAAAAAGAACAGTA